CTATTTGGATTAGTGGTTTAATTGGAATTATTGTGTATGTGTTAAATTACAAAAAAAAATTTGTTTGTGGCCCGTGCGTATAGGTTTTAGTACTTAGTCGTGGTACAGAATGCCCTTTGTGATAAATTGTTTTAGCATCTGTAACCCAATCTTCTGTGGAATAAAAGTTAGCTGGAGTCGACAGGATTCGCCCCCGGAATTTGGTTTATTTTTTAGTATGATCTATTTTCTATTTCAAGTTGAAGAATTAGGTGCAGGTTTTTGCATATTTTTGAGGTTTGGCGTTTTTAAGTTCAATTTCAGAGTCAAAACGCACCCTTTTTTTAGTTTGGGACAGTGAACTAGTACCAACAAAAAGTTTTTGGCTGTCGAAAATTATGTATTTTGTATGATTGTATTATTGATCCCTCAAAGTATACGAATACAAAAATATACAAAAAATATTACACATAAATTGTGTTATTTTTTTCGAAGTTATTAACAAGCCGCCATTTTGTAGTAGCAGAAATGGTAAACAAGTGTTTAAACTGCAATTTTTAGTTGGCTGTTTAACTATCTTCAGAGTTGAGAACTAACCAAATTACCACATAAAAAAAAAATCGTCACTGGGACAAAAAAAATCGTCAAATCGTCATGGCCGTAAAAAGTCTTCAAAATGACGACCAAATCGGCAACCTGGCAACACTGATCATAATACCAATTCTCTAGTACATCATTTGGCGCAAGGATATGTCCTTTGGAGTTTGGTTCGGTGCGTGAGGAAATCTTTTGACTGACACCCCCAGGCAAATAGCCACAAGTGACGGTTTTAAGTACGATTCAGTCGCAGTTCACAACATCCGGAGATTTATATCCACGTATCTTCTGGTTAGCAACCAAACAACCGTTTGGGAGAGAGCTAAAGTGAGAAGACGAAAAACCTCGCGTGCACTGGGTTTGGGTTCCTCCACGTTATAACGCCTCCCAATGAAAACTGCAACAATTCCGCGGATGAGACTCAGGGTATGCGCCTAGAATATCCAGACCCTTGATGGAGAAGGTGGCTCTGCCCGACTGGTTGATGTCCTCGTGTAGACCAAGGCTGACAACACCGCCATCCAAGAAATGCGATGGAATGGCAAGAAAGCAAGAAAAGCGTAGCGCCTTGCGACGTCTACTACAGCTGCCACGTAAAGGAGCGCAAATTCGAAATGGCATTTGTAGCGGAAGAGAGACTCCGTGGCCAATGAGCTCAAGTTTATGCAAATTTTTATACTGAATATCGAGCTGGAATTTAAGACAGTACAGAATTTAATACAAACAGAAACCAGTTATTGTAAAGAGACTACGTAACAAGGAATTATATACTTACCTTAAATTCTCTGAAGCCATTAAAATACATTTAAATGCATTTTTGTTTATGTTATACATGTATTTATACTTAAGTATATAAGTATGTATTTATAATAAGTCATACATTTACTTTAAATTAACTAACAAATAAAGGTACATTTTGTGATTGCAAATTTTTCGTATTGAAATTTTATAATTTACTTATTATTTATTGGGGTTTCTCATTCTTCCCTTTACATCCTATTAACTAGTTTTCCTCGTATTTTTACATATATCTTTAGACATTGCGCGATGTACAATAATCTGTAACCACATCCTTATCCTCCACCTGATCGATTAGCACCAATTCATACACGACAATAGTGCCAGCCATCTGATGAGTGCAAGGATATATTTATATATATATGTATATATATATTATTTTAGTTAATTCTTGTTATATACATACATATATATATGTATACATAAACTATGTAATAATAAACACTATTCACATGAAGCAGCCCAGGATGGAAATTGAGATTTTAAGATTATTTACAAAAGAAACGAAAATTATTTTATTAAAACAAAAGCTTAAAAATGTTATATGCATCGTAATAATATAAATTGAGCCCAGCATTTTTATAAAATTACTGAAAACTTTGATAGGAAACAATAAATACCTCCCATCGAGACTGTAAAACTAATGCCGTAAATGCTTCAAGCTTATTAATAAAATTAAATCTCAATTTCAGCCTTTTTCTAACTGTTTCATTGAATAGTTATAAACTCGTAAATTTACTTACTTATGTACACATGTATGTATATACGAGTACAGTGGGTATATACTAGGGTTAAGTGTTTTTTGTATGCATAAAAGTCTGCGGTGAGCCAAGAATAACCCGCAATTTTTACATTTTTATTGTATGCATGCGCTTTTGGATCATAAAGCTCTCGCGAAAACTTATACCTAATACTAAAAGTACGAAACATTTTCAAAACTTCTAAATGGTGCCGAATGAAAAATTTCCTCAGGGCCTTAACCTACCGAAAAATTCCAAAAGGTGCCAAAGGCCTATAAAATCAAATAGAAACTCCAAAACGCAGTCATGAGAAATTCGGAAAAGTTCCGAAAAACCACGCTAGTTCCCAAAAGCTACCCGATAGAAGGTGCCGAAAAAAACAACATGTTCCCAAAAAATCCCGAAAAAATTAAAAAAAAAAAAACAGAATTTTGATTATTTTCATAAAAACAAAATCTAAATTCTACTGAATAAATCCCAAGAAAATCTCGACACTCTTGAAAAAGCCTTCCGGATCTGCAGCCTCCCGAAAAATCACGAATTTTCCCCAAAGATCCGACATTTCTTATATAAAACTTCAAAAAACAAATTAAAAAACGAAGCATTCGACAAGGATCCGAAAACTCCCAAAAACATGCATTAAAAGTCCTGAGTGAATACCGAAAAAATCGCAAAATAATACACGAAAACTCTGGAAGAGTTTCAAAAATATACCGAAGGTCCCGTTAAAAGACCCAAACAAACAAGGAATTCGTAAAAAAAAAAATCTTTAAGCCCCGAAAACACCGAATGGCTCCAAATAAGCCGAAACAAACCAAGAAAATAATCACAAAAAATCCCGACGAGTTCCGAAAATACGGAAGGTCTCGTTAAAAATCCCAAATGGACCCGAAAAATTTAGCGCGAAGAATCCTAAAAGATTTTCTATGGTACTGAAAAAAAATCAAGAAACTAAATACGAATCCAATAAAGCACAAAACCTTTCGGAGCATAAAAACAACAACCTTAACGGTGCAGAAAAAAATACTGAATATTATTACCTGCTCAAAAAATATCGCGAAGACTTAGCTTGATAATAGAATAGTAATATTTAGTTTTAAAAGCCCTGAGCAAATTATATTACACAATGAGAAAGGTTTATAATTGTGTCTTTGAAAACTCGTTACGATGAATTTGTCACTGACTTTTTGATTTCAAAATCTAAAAATAATCTTTATTCAAAGTCTCTGGTTGTGAAAAAAAACTTACTTTATACTTAAGCATATTGTTTGGCTCCACAGGCAAAGCCCAAGTATACGTACTCGTACTTGTATTTACAAACATTTATGACTATACTTAAGCAATAATGATGACAAACTTACCGCAAATATGAGGCGACGCGTCAAAAAGAAAAAACTTTTACCACTAAAGGCAATCAAATCGTGTATGATGATTTCATTTAAACGTTTCAGCTATGAAAATATGAGCAATAAATTTATAAATAAATAAAAGAGATGCGAAACGATTTTAGTTGAAGTTTCTTCAACAGAGGTTAACATAGCAAACAAATAAAAAAAAAAACGAAATTGAAAGGCAATTGGTTAAACAAATAAAATTCCACAAACTCAAAGGATAGGTTTGATGCAAATCTGGGAATTTATCCATTTACTTGTATATGCATGTGGAGATGTATGTATATATTATGTATGTATGTAGGTATAGTACTAGTTATGTACTCACTTCAAGGTTCCAGAATTTCGTTGGTATCTCATACATGGTCGACATTATTTGATTAGCTTCGTTATGTACGGCGCCAGCCGACAACATCATTGTTGAAATGCGCACCAATACGAATAGTAATGAGAACCAAAAGTAAATTTCTTTCATAAAGTTTTCTCGTGTGCTATAGTCGCATATGGGTAAAATCATGAAAGAATACATGTATAAGTAAATATTATTATATTGTTAAGTGGAACTCATAACACTGTACCTAACGCTAAAATGACAAAAAAAAAAACACCCAGATAAGTAAACTTAATTTTACGTCGCAGATTACGGATCTGGATACCGTTTTCCTAGATCAGGTCATTTTCCTACGATTTTTTCATTTTAAGTTTGCCAATGAAAAAAAATCAAATTTTAATATGGAAAAGGTTACTCATACGCCATGTACGGTGATTTACAAGTGCAGCCCTCTCCGACACGGCGTATACGTAACATTATGGCATGGTTTCGAATAACGGTATACCGATGCATAACCTATGACCCAAAATTAAGTTAACGTGTCTGGGCGTTTTTTTGTGTCAACTTGAGCTTTTCCTCACATTGTAATTAGCTTATGCCAAACTGTTGTAAAGTCCTAATCTTATATATAAATAGGCAATCATGTTTCCTTTACACCCCTTTTACGACTAACCTATACTTGTAAGGTATAAACAATTATATATCAATAGAAAGGTATTTTGATGCTGATGTGCAGGCAATTTTAAAATTTCAAGTTAAAGCGAAAAAATCAATTCAAAAGTAACACCAATACCAATGCACACATGTACATGGTTGGGCCAGAAATGCCTCCTAAATGTACGCTTTAATATTCATACTGAATTATAGAAACGTGCTAAGCAGCAGTTTAGGAATAATATGTATATATGTACATGAATAGATTAAGACTCAAACCAGGAAAAAGGTAAAGTTGAGTATGTAGAATAAGAAAGGGAAAAATGCAGAGATTAAAATAAAAGTAAAGAAACCTACACATAAAGACAGAGACCAAAATGGAGATAAAGGTAGAGACAAAAAAACGGAAAAGGATAAAATTAAAGAATGACATATTATGTTGTGTTGTGTTACATTATTTGTTATGGCTCTGTCTAATAAAATGGGAAATATGAAAATCAGAGCACTTATATAATTTTCTTTGCTTTATTCATGTATCCACTGGACGTTAATTTTCAGTCACTCTCGAATTTAATTCGGACATATCAATACGATTGTTATCATTTTCGGTCGTTTGCTGGTCATCAGTGTGGTTTGCTCGTCGTTCATTTGTATGACATCGATGACCTATTTAAGCATTCGTAAAGTCTACCTAAATTCAAGGAGAAACTTCGTGAGCTCATACGCTCTGCACATAACCCCTTACACCTTGCGTTTTGTTCCGCGCCTACTGCGACTGCCGGATCATGGACAGATCGAGTCTGCCCTATCATGCCGATCATTGATAGCCTATATACACTTTCTATCTTCTTAAGAAAGGCGTTCTTCTCCAGTGCTGTCCACCAAACCAATACCCCATGGATCAGTATAGGCCTGACTATCGCCGTGAAGATCCAGTGAGAAGGAGAAAGCGACAAGTCCCAGGTGCTGCCCAACATCTTTTTGCATGCATGGAGGCCGTATTCGCCCTCTCCTCCACACTGAGGCGCCACAACAGCTTAGTATCGAGTATTATTCCGCGATAGTTGGTACTTTGCTCCACCAGAAAAGACATCCCATCCAGATTGGGCTTGGACCTTTTCGGAACCTTGTATTTCCTGGTGCAGAGTACCAGATTCTAAGTTGATACTAAGCCCCACTTCGATTGCCCAAAGATGTATCAATCGTAGTGCTTGACTCATAAGTGAGCTAAGTCTGTCCACACTCCAGCAAGTAAGTTTACTTTTGAAGAATTTCGTTTATTTCCTTTAGGATAGCTTGAAGAAATTTGTTAATAAAAAAAAACAGGAACTCCTTCATCACTATTTTACAACTTAATATCACACAGCGAATTCCGTTTGCTTATTGCAACCATCTTGGAGCCGGCGTACATTCATTTATCTTACTCAACCCAATATGTATTATAAATATGAAGTATGTAGTAAAAATTCAACTCACTTGAAACTGTGAAATATTTGCACACATATAAAGTATAGATTATTGCAGCATGACACAAGTATCAGTGTTGACAATCCATCATCGTAGAGATGCAGCACATCGACTAGAGCCATAAAATCGTAACGCACATCCCGCCAGAATTCTTCCCCCATATGCTACGGATTGCAAGGAACAGAACACTTATGTAGTATGTATAAAATGATATATATCTATATGTACAGACATATGTATAATAAAACTGAAACAGGCAGATGTCTGTACTTTATAGATATTAAATATAAATTAATAAGTGGATCTTTATTGGAGCAACAGAAGCCAAATCAACAATTTTAGAATTTTTTATCTGTCTGTATATTTTACGCTCATCTGTTGAAAAATAATGGTGATTTTGTTTCTTCCAAAAATTGTGACCCTTCCAGGGAGCAAAAGATGTTTGATCTTACACTCAACCCTGTAAAAGTTCATGTTTTTACCTTCTTGCTCTTGTCTATAATTTCATAATAAATATTGTTGTTTTAAGCAACCATCTGACTTTCAGGGCAACCATGTGACCTCACAAGGCTTCAAAGGGCAGTGCATGTGCCTTTTTTGCCTTACAAGAGTGTGACATTTTAAGAGTTCACTCTTAAAGGAAAAGCTATGTGCATTTGAGCGAAAGTGCGAAAATGTGACATACACAGTTTTTTACAACAAATATATGGCAACGTTTCGCACTTTTAGTTTCGCACAAACGCACAGATAAAGCCCTGACTGAAATGCAAAGAGCGAGAAAACTGTGTTGTGCTGTGCTGTTCGTACATCGTTCGACAGTTAAAGCGACAGCACAAGCGAAGCGCAACGAATATTTGAGACCGCCCTGTGGCTGAACTGTTTGAAATTTCACAGCTAAAGCAACTACACTGTTCATGCTTTTGTGCACAACAAAGCTCTAATTTTTGCCTTTCGCTGTTTGGCATCAAAGAGTGAACTCTAGTAAAATTTATTTTAGAATCGAACACGAAAAGAGAAAGGGGCAATCAAAGGGCGACATTTTTTGGTAGAGACGAAAACACTTTTATGCATGTTTTGCTAGAGGTCTATCTTAAAATATAGAAAAAAAAAAATATTAAAGAGTTGCCAACTGTAGGAAAATTGCATTTTAAGTAAATTGATAAGAAAGTAAATAATGCAATATTATTATTAGTTTTATTTCTTAAATACTCTATGTTTATTATTATATTTTTTTTTAATTTTTAAACCCGCTTAGAAAAGATAACAATTCGAAAAAGTTAATTACCCTTGGGACATTTCGGTTAACTTTTTCGAGATTCTACTCTAAATATTGCAAAATGGGTATCAGGCTAAAGGGTAAAATTGCTGTCAACATTTTTTATGAAACGGGTTGTCACCTATTTGAAAAATTGTATTTAACTAAATTGATAAAATAAGTGAACTAATACAATATGGATATTAAACTAAAGAGGTTTAGTTAAGTTTTCTGTCGAAATTACGCTATAAGCAACTGAAGGGAAAAGCGAGACGTATTTGCCGCAATAAAAAGAGAGAGGCCGAAATACTTGAGTGCGAAGAGCTTGAAATGCTGACCGACAAGAAAAACACCCGAAAATTTTATCAGAGGGTTAGGCGACTTAAATGATTTCAAGACCAGGTTGAAATCCTGTAAGAACAACCATGACGAGCTAGTGACCGATGTCCAGAATGTATGTACTTAAATTATGGAGGCAACACTTTTCCACCCGATTGTGAAAGGCAGCGTCATTGAAAGTAGTGGACAAAACGAACCCGAGCCCGCACTCGATGACGATGGAGTCGATGTAGCTGCTGGATCTGACGGCCTGCAAGCCGTATGCAGAATATAGTCAGATGAACACATGCCCGAGCACTGGCATTTAAATCCACCAACAAAAGTTTGGTGAGATTTCGTTTCGGCTTTGTCAAAAAACAATGTTGATTCGGCTTTTGAGGTACATTGAAAAAATTCGCCAAAATTTAGTTCGTTTCGGTTTGGCCTCAACAATTGATGATCAGTCATTGTCTAATGTATATGTAATTTACCTTGTACATATATTTTTTTTTTTTTGATTAAGTACACTTACCTGTTTTACATGTCGCTTTATACGCCAATGCATTTGACGAAAACGTATGGCAAAACAGCGAAAAATCATGCTCAAAAATATGTCCACATAGTTCCAGGCAAATGTGGACGAAATTGTAATCCACTAGAAGAAAATGTTTAATGAAATTCAATTAATTACACAATACGATTGATACTTAAGTGTACATAGATATTCAAAATAATTAAGCGTTTAACAATAACTATTGTCTGAACGTTCTGTTTCCGTAAAAACATCACCGACATTTTAACCGAAGCCGAGCATTTCGATTGCCCATTTTTACTTAGTATATATGCGCTTATACATATGTATGTCACCTGAAATTTGAAATTTGAAATTTAAAAATCCTTAACTAACAAAATTTGTTTTTGCGAAAAACGATGTGGGGACTTGTAATTCGATGAAATGCATCTTGGTTATGAAAAGTGAATTTTGGACTTTTGGTTTGGTTACGGCCTTTTGTAATTCAGGTGACGATATGGCGTAAATATTGCATTTCTTAATTTATTTAGAAAAAAATATTAACAATTCTATGTTAGCGCAGAATAATCGCTAAGGTCTAAAAGCAAAACTTCGGTTATAACATATTTTCTATCAAAGATAATAACACTCAATCATTTATAGATATTTTGTCGTATTTTCTTGCTTAAAAATATAAACATTTTTTTAATTTAGTAATTCAATAATAAGTAATCATTAAGGTGAATTAAAAGATATAACATTTATTTTCAATTCAGAATTTTAAATTCAAAAATTTAGTTTTATTTCACAAGCAATTAATTAAAAAAACTCAAAAGCTTATTTTTGTTTTTGGGATTATGTGCGCTATTTCCTTTTAGCACAGAAATGTAGGCGAATTTTTTTGAATCTACATAAATTATTTTATAAGAGGTTCTTATTTTTGTATAGTGTCTTTATAAATACATAAGAAATTCTGTATTTAAGCCCTCTGATTTTTACTTTTCTATAATATTTTAACATTCTAACTGCCTTTTATAATTAACCTTTTTAAGTAGGGGTCAAAAATAGAAACAAAGTAGGTATGGGGATAAATTTTTTAGGAAAAAAAAATTGTTTCGCTTAATTTTGTTATGTCTCTCTGAAGCAGAAAGTTCAATTAACTTCAAATTTCTGAATTTACAACCAGTTGCGTACAATCGAATGATGTTTTCGTCCTAGGTGATCGCTTCTAAAATTTTCTGCTTCCTTTTGCAGAACACTTTAACACTCTAATTGTCATTTTTAATTATTTTTCAAGTAAGCGCACAACTTTATCAGAGTTACTTGAAAAAAACATTGTCGTCTTGAAATAAACGTCCCACGGGAAGAAAAAAAAACTAAAATCCCACATAATTGTTATGAGAAGACGTAAATCCTACTCGTCTTTAAATAAACGTTCCGAGAAACGAAAAAAATAAAACTTCCATATAATTATTATGAGAAGACGAAAATAATTTGCATCTTAAAATAATCGTCCGGCGAGACGAAAACAAACTTTACATTGTTCAATAATAATTATAGAGCAATATTTAATTGTATTTCTTACAATCGTCATGGTCTCTGTTTTAAAAATTATCTAGCACTTCTTTAGCTCCACAAAGTTTAAGTTGTGTTTGGTAATATATTAAAATTACAAATCTTTTAGTTCATTGTACAAGTGTTGACTAAAATCTATTTCTGTTTTCGATACCTTCATATTATTCTATTTCGACTTAGAAAATTCCATTCCTAATGAAAATGGCGCACAAGTATATGGAAAATGGGCAAGTAAGTCGATTAATTTCTGCAACGTGCGCGGAAGCACACAAACTATACCGGGCAGTAATTCGAACTCCGATAAGCTCAGACGGTGTATTCTCTCTCAGGCGGCCACCGTAGAAAAGGAAAGCCAAAACTTGAGTATTGATACAATTACAGATATAGAAATTCAGTGAAAAAAACATACATTTGTGTCCACGGGAAAATACAGACTGGCACCATAAACTCATGCATCTAGGTTAATGAATTCAAAAATTAATTAGAAGAAAAATCGTTTTTCTGAACGCGCGGATTTTGTTTTAACCTTACTAATTTTACATTTAAGGAGAGAAAGAAGTAAAAGTTGTCAGACATATTTTTTGAAAAAGTTATTCGTAACCCGAGTTTATATTGTCAATTCAAATATCTGAAATTGTCAGTTTTAAAGTATTTATTTTTAGTTTATTGTGTAGTTTATATAAGTATGTGCATACATATAAGTGTTATAACGAATTCGAAATATATATGCACCTCATTTTGGTTTAAAAGTTTTTTTTTCATCACTTAAACTTATAAAACTCGTTGTTTTTATAACAATTGCAGAAAATGTAAAAACAACCTTACGTCGTTAAATGCTCAACTTAAAAGGAAATCTAGCTCTTCATTTTAGCCGTTTTAGCTCCAAACGAAATTTTTCTCTGGCAGCACGGCATATTCATTCAATTTTGTTTACCTATTTTTACAACTCAAAGTCGAGAACTAACACCAAAATATGCGCATATTATTGCTTTCACCCTAGTGTTATTACGTGTTCAATGAGCTTTGGATAGTTAGTAGTCTACATATTAACATATTAGTGTTGATTGGAGCAGTACTGGACTTAATGATACGATAAGGAAAATTCAAAAAGTCACTGACTTATCAAACTACCCTTGTATTACATACATATATATATATATTTGTTCATATTAATTACCTCCACTAAAGGTATCAACCAGGCATGGTAATTGAATATCGAAAATATATGCAAGCGTTCACGCATAAAGTAGTTTTTCCAAAAATTCACTGACAAATTACATGTCTTAATTTGAAGGTCGTTATTATAAATAGCCGAACCGATGTACACCGAATGCTCCACTAAAATTAATAGGGGGATATTATTCAAAACAAAAATAATTAAAATATAATTGTATACATAATGGGCATTATGAACACAAACTTAGAAATTGCTGTTTCTTAAAATTTCAGATCATAAACTAAAATTTATTTAAACAAATCGAGTTAAAAGGTCTGAAATTTTAAGAACCAGCAATTGCTTTTATTCTGTTAGTTTACCGCCAGATACGCATTTATTTATGTACTTTAATTGGAAAGAACTTGAAAGTACTTCATATAAACATCTGTAAAGGGTTTTACTGCTTTTGTAAAAAGTTTTAAGTTGCACGTGTCCCACGCGCGTGCCAGTGATGGGCAAAATTATAATCGCTTGATACTAACTACTAAACACAAAAAAAAAAAAAAATATTTAAGTATTTCTTCTTTTTACTTGGAACTGTAAACGCCTAAGCGGTTTTGGCCGAGTCCAAAACAGCACGCCTCTTTGACCGAAAGACTCAATCGCTTTGCTTCCTTATCCAACTTGGAATAGGCAGAATAAGCTTTGCGGTTTTTGTTACCGATGATGTCGATGTCATTGGCATACGCCAGTAGTATTTTATTATCTTCTCCACCATCAGATTAAATAAATCACATGAAAGGGAGTCACTTTGTCTGAGACCTTACAATTCTGACGGATTTTCCAGGATCTTTCGAAAGCCTTGTAGCTTGATGGATCTTTTTATGCTGGAACCTAGTATTGCATACTAACATATTTAGTGCCCCATCGAAGTCGAACAGTCTTAGTCCGTTATTCGATTTTTTGCCGTGAAAGCCGAATTTTCCGATGGTAAGTCCAAGGACCCCTTCCTTATAGAAAAGAAGGCTGGGGTTATCAGCTCGTCGGAATATTTTTTTTTTTTAACCGACTTCCAAAAAAGGAGGAGGTTATCAGTTCGTCGGAATATTTTTTTTTATGTATGTTACCGCATAACTTTGGATCATTTCATGGATCATCATGGAAATCTTCAACTTTTTATTCAGATTTTTTTAAATTTTTTTGAGTATGCAGTTTAATAACCCATTAAAATCAAGGGTAATAATGTGCAAGTCTTAAGCTGCTAAAAAATCGCGAAAAAATTATTCGTAACCTGAGTTTCTATTCAAATATCTGAAATTGCAGATATTGAAAGTTTGTAAAGTATTTATTTTTAGTTGATTTTAATTCAAAAAAATAAAATAAAATAAATAAAGCCCTTGCTACTGTTGGCATATGTATGTTTATCTCTTTAGCATTTAGCGACTTCTAAGTACTTTTTTAAAATTCATTATTTTTACATCTTCAAAAAAAAAAAGTGTGCCCATCACTGGTACGTATGAATCTACCTATATATGTACATATGTATTCAGATGCATACCTGCAGCGCCAAAGAGCAAAATTGCGCCAAACCTACGCACATTATGAGTAAAGTTTCGTGATTCTGCATTGGCATAGGAGTTCTGCAGAAATACCTGCTCGCAACGATGCATATGCTTTATCATATTGGGCCATTTGCGTGCCAAATGTAAAAATGAGCTCACACTCAGAGCAGATATGATGCTGAAACTGAAAGGACCTGTGGCAAATAAATTGAAAATTTGGCATGTAAGTATGTGCACGTGCAAGGATATGTTGTTGTTGTTGTTATTAACTGCGGTAAAATTAAAAGTCCTCAAGCAATGAAATGTCAATGTACGTCGGTACAAATACATACATACATACATATATACATGCATGCATGTATGTGTACACAAAAAGGATTGGGCGTGCGAATCATAACTGTATCATTTGGTTTTCTTTTTTTTTTTTTGTGTTGTGTTTTCTTTTTACCCACAGTGTACAGCTTCAAGCCCAATTCGATCACGACCATTGTTGAGAGTACCACATCGATGACCGAGAATGTAATCAGAGTGAGGGAAAGTATTGACATCAGTGTACACCAGCTGAAGTGGACGTGTTCTACATTGGTTTTGAGCCAAACGCCAGTCACAGGCAATGTGGCTAACAATTGTGAGATCATCATAACTATGGAGAGAGAGATTAATATTAAATGAAAACATATTTATACGAAAATATTGCAAATTCACAAACAAAATTTATTTGCATTTTTTGGTATACATACAAACATACATACATACGAATGTTCATATCCTGCTTCTTCTTGCTACTTACACGGTCCAACCGCATGGTGCATAGTATTCGTGCTGCCGAGTGGCGCTTCATTCACCAGCGCAACGCTTTTGCCCTTTGCCTTCAATTGTCGCAAATAATATTCCTCTGGTTTCAAGTGCCGCATGATGTTGCTTGCAACAGTTTTGCACATGCAATGCCACAAGCCAGCAGCTGCGTAAATGTTGCGGCCCTCTACTATAAGTGCTTGCGTTTTTCACAACTTCATTGCAATGCTACCACGAAAACCGCAAAAAAAAAAAAACAATTTTCATGCAAAACATGTTCATAGCTGATATTTTGCAGTTTGTAAAACTTGCAAACTAATGATTTTGCTTTGATTTCAATCAGCACAACAACACGAAATGGCAGAAAAATATGTGAAAATGAAAGACAAATGCCACATGTGACAAAATCCCCTTAGAGAACATTTATGCATGTAGATTCCTACGGTGATAACGCTTTCACAGTTGAAATGACGGAGTGGCCCTTTTGTGTGCGTGTACATATGTATGTATGTATGTATGCATGCATGTGGGAGTGTATGAGTTGGTATTTTGCTTGACAATTTTATCACTGCATAATTCAACAGAAATTGTCGATTTTTTTTTTAAAGCACATTTTCCAGGAGACCCAATTGAATCTGTTTTGTATTTGAAATTTTCCGACAAAAATTGTGGTGGGTACATACAGACATATTCGAATAGATTTAATAACTAGATAAGGCAAAAAATATTCCATGATTATTGTTAAGTTCCTAGGTACATTGCTACGCCTTCTAAATTGAAAGATATTTAACCGCCTTCAAAAAAAGGAAGAGGTTATCCATTTGTCGGAATAATTTGTTTTATGTATGTTACCGCAAAACTTTACTAAACCTGAACCGATTTCGAGAATTCTTTTTACATCGGAAAGGTGGTAGCCATACGGATTAGGTTTAATTACGTTCTTTTGATCATGAAGAAATTAACGGTACTCCTAAATTTTTATATAAACATTGAAGTCGGTTGTATTTTTTTGTTTAAAATTACGATGAGTTGGCTATTAAACTCAAGCAACATATGACCATTAAAACATTTTTTATCGCGATAATGAATCCCTTGCGCTAAATGCTCCAACAGATTTTCTTTCATAATGGTGTAAGAAAGTCCGCATCAATCCAAAGCCGAATTAATTTTGAGAGGAGAGAGTACAGAGACTTACTTGACGCATTTAAAAGAGAAGTGCGAAAGGCAGGTAATAAATCCTGAAGGGACGGACTTCTGTGATAACTTGGAGGGAACAAACGAAGTGGGCAGCCTTAGGAAACTCCTAGCTAAGATTCCAAGCACACCCAACCACATTCGTAAGCGTTGAGGGAACTGGACATATTCAAGCGAGGAGTGTGTAGAAGACTTGGTCAACACCCACTTTCGACAGACCTCGATAATGGGGAAGTATAGCGGGAAGAATCCCGCCAAACGCCGAAACTTCATACAAAGTGAAATTGTCCTATATTGTCAATACCTATTCGTCCTGCTGTACAAAAAAAAATAATAATAATATTTTGAATTCTACACCCACATTGTTATTCTACATTGCACTGAATTAAAAAATATTCAAATTTCAAAGTCCTTTCAAAACATCCCGATGTCAGAAAGAAAAACTAAATACGCAGTTTCTTATATTTGGCCCCTAATTTGACAAGTATATCAATTTTTCGTGTGTGTTGAAATTTTTTGGAAAGGGAAATACCTACTTACATACGTACATATTACAGTGGTCTCAAAAATTCACATCTAAATTTCACACGAAAATTTCAGAATTGTATACAAAATTTTAAAGAACATTTATTTTAGAAACGGGCGTTAAAAAAACGAAAAAATTATAAATTTGAAGTGGACCTAATCAAAAGGTATTACATATGTATGTATTAGGGTGGTTCTTATAAATTATCAAACTCAAGGGGCACGTCTACGAAAAAAAAATAGGGATCTGCTCTAACTGCGTTTGAAAAAAATTTTATTTTTTTAAAAGAATCGCTAAAATTCGACAAAATTCGGACTTAAATTCAAAAACTCGCTGTGTTATAGCTGGTCGTGTAGAATTTTTTCAAATTTTTTATTACTTAAATTTTTAGTTGCTAGACCCTTATTTTTTTAATAATTGTAACTTGTTTATATAAATTCATAAACTCGCTGTGTTATAGCTGGTCAAAATTGTGTAGATTTTTTCGATGCTTTTTATCAAAATTTTCAACCCAATTTTTTTGTTTGAAATTTTTGCAAATGCCTTTATCTTTCACGTTAAACAAAACAAATTAGCGCCCAATGACTTAAATGTGCTTGAGGACCACCCTAATACATCTGGTTCATTACAAAACGGAATAAGTAAACATTTTTCGAAACGATCGGAGCTGCACAAAAATTTGTTCGTATCGAAAAAATGCTGCCTTATTTCCGTTGGTCACTAACCAATTCAAATATAAGTAATATGTACAGTTTGTTTGATCAGACCCTCCTTAGTTTAAACATTTTTTCGGTTTTCTTTCAAAAAGAACATTTCTAAAGTCGATGTCGGGTTTTAGTGTCCCTTCCTGCCAATTTTGCTATTTTATTTTAATTTTTTAGGTTAAGGGTCCCCAAAATTAATTCCCCGGCAATAAAATTAGCCAATAATTTATTGATTTTTTAAGGCAAAAAAAAAGCAAATCAGTATGCAACTGTCTTCTCTAGGTTTTTGTAACCTTCTTATTTATAACAGATTTACTTACTACCTTTTGGATCTAAGTACTAGTTTCCATACGGTACGTATTTTTTCTCAAGAGTGTACTTACAAGTTTTATCAGCTCGCGAGATACATATGTATTTGTTTACATGCTGCGACATGAAAAAAATTGGTTTCGTGCGAACTTACTATGTAATTGTAAATGTTTTAGCTAGATGATTAAATGACAAACTTTAAGCACAAACTTTTTGGGTAAAAACAGCGTTGAAATTCTTTAAATTTATTTGCCAATATTTTCGCTGTCACTTACTTTACCACAACATGAGTAACAGGCTAAAACCATACATATACACATATACAATAAGACTTCATGTTAAAGACAACCATTCGCCTTCCAAAAGTCACTTTTCCCACAATCCTCCCTTACGTTCAAGCCTGCATCATTCTTCTGAATTCACACAGATTCTGTATCGTACTCAATCGGGTTGCAGTAATTTGTTATCTGCTGGATGGAGCCTTTATTGATGACATCTGTAACCATCACCTCATAAGTAAAGATTGTGCTAGCCATCTGCAGTCAATAAAATGTGGAAAACAACAGACCAGAAGATGACATAATAACATCCTTTTAATAGACATTTACGACAATAAAGTCAAGCCCAAAGAGCTGAACAGTAACAAGTGACCTTTGTCATATGTATATATGCATGTACATACGTATCTACATACTTAAGTACATAAATATACATAATTTACCAACTCACCGCTAAAATTAGTTGTCGCGTTATAAAGAAAAAGCCACAGCCAGACCAAGCTGTTAAATCGAAGGCCAACTGCTCACTGAACCGTTGTGCCTGCAAGAGATTATGGCAGAGAGAATAAATCCTAAGCTCACAAAGGCGCAAATAAATATTCACACACATACACAAACTTATATACATAAAAACAATGCATTAGTTTATATTCGAATAGAATTATTTAATGAGTTTGCCAAAGACAAACGCAAAAACCAAAAAACAAAAAACAAAAAAACAAACTAACGTAGCAAAGTGAAAATGTTTGTTAGCGAAAGTGAATGTGAATGTGAAAGTGTTTGTGAACGTCATTGTGAACGTGGCAATGACTCATGGCAATGGCAAAGCCATTGACACTCATTATGATTTCTAATTTAGCATAGTTTGGGTCGTACTCGTACCTCAACACACCACGATGTGCTGGGTATACTGCGCAGCGTCACCAAAATTCGTTTACAGTAATCATTAACAGAGGAGGCCATGAAANCACATAATTTACCAACTCACCGCTAAAATTAGTTGTCGCGTTATAAAGAAAAAGCCACAGCCAGACCAAGCCGTTAAATCGAAGGCCAACTGCTCACTGAACCGTTGTGCCTGCATGAGATTATGGCAGAGAGAATAAATCCTAAGCTCACAAAGGCGCAAATAAATATTCACACATACACACAAACAATGAATTAGTTTATATTCGAATAGAATTATTTAATGAGTTTGCCAAAGACAAACGCAAAAACCAAAAAAAAAACAAAAAACAAACTAACGTAGCAAAGTGAAAATGTTTGTTAGCGAAAGTGAATGTGAATATGAAAGTGATTGTGAACGTGAACGTGAACATGGCAATGACTCATGGCAATGGCAAAGCCATTGACACTCATTATGATTTCTAATTTAGCATAGTTTGGGTCGTACTCATACCTCAACACACCACGATGTGCTGGGTATACTGCGCAGCGTCACCAAAATTCGTTTACAGTAATCATTAACAGAGGAGGCCATGAAAAGCGTAAGAATGGTACGAAATATGGCGAAAAAGAGTGAATACCAAAAGGCGAAAACAGCAATCAGGTCGACGCCGATATTTCTGTAAATGTAAACAAAACAAAAAAAGAAGATTAAATTCCGAACTTGGTTAAAGTCATTTACTAAATAATTTACTCACTGAAAACTATTGAAAAGTTGAAAGCAGATGAAATACATATTATTACTGCAGGCTAGTAGTATTAGTGGCGCTATGTGGTCGTTAACCAAACGCATAAGTTGCAATAATTCGAGAAAATGTTCACGCACCTCGCTCCAAAATAGTATGGGGAGGGCCTGCAATGAGTAACAATACTTTCAAGCTATAAACGCAAAAGTTATGATATAATGGTGTATAGTCGTCAATAGGGGTTTTTTGTCAAAACTTCCTCGGATTAAAGTTCCATGAAAGTTAAATATGCCGAAAAATTATTATCATCGACCAAGTTTTGGTCCATCGAAGTAAATTCAGACATTACTTTCACAGAACTTAACATGGTGAAATCAATTGATGATTCCCGTTTTTTTATTTTTTTAGAAAAATTTAAAAAATTAAAATTTAGCAGGAAAAAAATAACAGAATGTGTTAAAGCTTGTTCTATTACAAAAAATGAAGAATATCGATGCGAACGATAATGCGCAAAGATTTTTTTTATGAAAAATTGTCAGGTAAGAATGTTACTCATACGCCATGTAAACCTAAGTAATAGCTCTCTTCCGCTCAAATTTCATACAAAATTCTTCATTGGTAGCTTCGTTTTTGTGAAGGAACAGGCTTTCATACGCAATAAAGAAATTACAAAAAAAACACCATTCCTTTATTTTTCCCCTGTTAAGGTTTGAATTGTTTCATAAATAAAAAAACACATAAATCTGGAATAATTAATTAATTCCAAAGAAACTATCAGGCCTATCGAAAAGTGGTGTATGTATATGTATACATATATATAGGAAATTTTGTTAGCTTTCATTTACCGTATTTCATATAAAAATTGTTAAATTGGTTCGTAAGACATAGTACATGATTAAGTGCAACAACTTTTTTTTTTTTAAGCTGAATAACGATAAATTGCAAATATTTTAAAAACGTATCAATAGAACAAAATATTAACTTGATTTTCGGAATTAACAAGCAACTGTACATAGAAATTGGATAGTGGCATCCGGTGAACAAGAAATAAATAAAATTTGTGATCCAGTGTTATTGTTGGCAGAACAAATAAATATCGAGTAGTTCGTAGCGAAAGTGGCTTTATAGAATCCAATCGAAAGAACTGCATTTAAATACTAAGAAGAAGACGAATTCGATGTTGAAGTTGAGATCGAATTGGCATCTAAAAGACATCGGACGAACCAATTCCTAGTTCCAGAAGTCTCAAAATCTTTTCAAAATAAAACAAGTAAGAGCAGCGCTGTCTTCGGCTATGCCGAAGACTTCATACCTTTCATGAGCATATGAAAATTTTACTTTAACAGATTACTGCATTTGAATAAATTTATATATTCACAGCAGGCATAGATAGAGGAGATACATATATAAAAAATCATATCTAAACAATCAGAGGTATGGAAGATATACCTTATATAGCACCAATCTAAGTGATTTTCACTACTGTGTGNGACTTTGTTATTTTCACTGTATATTCTGTTGTTAATGGGTGGAAGTATTGCAAAATTTCATGTTCCTAGGTGCATAAATGGAGGAGTTATAACGAAAATTCTCATAACTGAACAATCAGTTGTATGGGAGATATATTATATGAACAATCAGTTGTATGGTGGATATAGGTTTTAGCGACCCGATCTTCGCCATTTTCACTGAAAGTATTCTTTTGATAATAAGTGAGAACAGTGCAAAAATTTATGTGTCTAGCTACATAAATGGAGGAGTTATAACGAAAAATCTTATATCTGAACAATCAGTTGTATGAGAGCTATAGGTTATAGTGACCCGATCTTTGTAATTTTTACTTTACGTTTTCTGTTGATAATGGGTAGAAGTAATACAAAATTTCATGTTCCTAGCTGCATAAATGCAGAAGTTATAACAAAGAATCTCGAATCTGAACAATCGGTTGTATGGAGGCTATAAGTTATAGCGACCCGATCTTCGCCATTTTCACTGTAAGCATGTTTTTGATAATGGATGGAAATATTGCGGAATGCCATGTTCCCAGCTGCATAAATGGAGAAGTTATAACGAAAAATCTCATATCTGAACAATCAGTTGTATGGGAGCTATATGTTATAGTGGTCCGATTCTTCCGGTTCCGACAAATGATTAATACATTATAAAAATACACCCACCTACCAAATTTTATCCGGATATCTCGAAAAATGAGAGACTAAATTGCATACAAACAGACGGACAGACAGACAGACAGACAGACAGACAGACAGACGGACAGACGGACATGGCTAAATCGACTCAGCTCGCCGTTCTGATCATTTAAGTATACATTTTAATGGGTCTATCTCTTCTTATTCTGGTACTTACAAACATCGGACCAAAGTTATAATACCATTTCATGCTCATGAAAGGTATAAAAATCCTTTCGCAATTGTATTTACTAGCGAACTCGCATGGCGTTAAAAGGCCTAAATCATTGGCCACAATAGGAAAATTGTTCAAAAATTATGAAAACTATTTTAACATCAATTCACCCTGTATCGCTTAAAAAATTCTAACAAATTTTAATCAACGGTGCAGATCTTACGACCTCACTTAAAATGCCTTCGCGCTAATATACATATGTATGAATATCGTCGTTTAAAGTACAAAACCGCGTATCGTGATTCTGCAAAACCGCGTAACTGATATTGGCTGCCAAAAATTGGATTTGCTCACACAAGTTCTTGGCTCAATCCTTATCCATTCGTCCTGAAATATACTTACTAGGCAGATATGCGATTGCTTTATAAAAAAGAGAACCATTTTGAAATATGAGTGTTTTTACCCTCTAGAAAATTATTTCTACAACTTCACATACGCGGTTTTTCATTTTGTTGATACGCGGTTTTGCACTTTAAACGACGATATGTAGATTAGACCGGGTCGTTCCCAATACGAAAGAAAAACCTTTGCAATTATTCACACTAGTTTGATAACTTACTTTGAGAGGATTTCAAAGTCCCAAAAATAATTAATTTATTTTTATGCTTCCGACAAAAAGTGCATCACTTACATGCTAAACAAGCAGCACTCCAAAAAAACCACTGCACCTCATGGTGGACTGACGCAGATGATTTCAGTTTACGCATAAACCTAAAAGGGACCCACTGAAGCTACTTGTCTTGCTACAGTAACTCAGAGCTTCACATCGACAAATTACCACTTATCGCATAAGGAAGTATATTCGAGCAACTGTATTTTGATACCCAGAGGCCCCACTCAACTCGTTTGCAACCTTACTAACAGCCAAAATCTATGGACTGCAGCGGAGGTGCATGAATATCCGGAAGCTGCGTTAGTCTAAATTTAGACTTACATAGTCTGAAAACCATTCAAAGACCAGGGAAAATCATTATAGTCTGGATTAGGACAAAGTTAATTCGACTTCTTTATGGATAATTACGAAGCAGACGAATTTACAAGAACCAGCTTGTAGATAATCTAGACACATCTGATCCAGCTTGAATAATAAAAGTTTCAGAGTCCTTCATCCCTTTGAACACTGCTTGACAAGGATGCATGCCAGCAGAATAGGATTTCCAGCGAACGAACGAACTGCCGCAGCTATAGCGGCGACGCAGAAATCAAGAAAGTCGAGCACTTCCACTGCCACTGCTCAGCCTTAGTTTAAGTGAGACGACGATGCCTGTCAGACTTACATAAGACCTTTTCAATTGATTTTTAATATTTATAAGTATGCGCTCAGAATCAACTGCCTTCGCATGTTATCATCTAGGATCAGCGAAAAAAAGCTAGCAACCCACCGAGCGTACTTTAAATTAGCATTTGTGTCTTACCTACCTTATCATGCACCGCTTCAATTCGCAAATGTAGCTGATGAAAACGGGCTGCCAATCCAACGCTCACGCAAATGATGAAGGCATCGGTAAATGATCTCGGATAAGCTAAAGTCAAATTAATCCACTGCGTCGTGAGTAGACATGCAATAGAAATACATAAAAATATGAAGATCAGATCAAAAAATTAAAATGAGGATATTGGTCTGCAGTCTAATTAGGCTTTATTCGCCAGCAAATCAATTTACACACATCTTATTTAGAGATATGCTTACCTCCATCACAGGCAAGTACCAAATGTTGAACGGTACCACTTTACTCAAATGCGGCCGCTCTCGCCTGTAGAGACTCTCCCAGAAACTAACATTATATTTGCATTGTAAACGTTCTAAATTGCTTTTGTGAAATGAATTAAATACAAGAAAAGCGTGCTCTCCTGTAAAAAAAAAAAAACAAAAAACAAAAAACATGTTTGTATTATTAGCCTATTTTGATGCTTGCGGGTTAATAGTTAGTTTACAAAACTTGTATCCCTATTAACAAAAGAAACCCCTATAAACTACCGTGGTATTGGTACTAAAAAAGCAATTTGGCAATTGTCTTTCAACTCACCACAGTCTATCGAAAGTCAATTCTGGCCACTATTTTGAAAGCTCTTTTCTGTCTTTCGAATGACTATTTACTTGAAAGATCTGCTAACGCAGAGGTCTTAGGGCCGTTTTCTCAAGTAACATGTAACTTTAAAGCTTACTTTATAAGAATTATTGCATGTAAATATATGTGTATATACTTGTGCAGGATTTCCACTAGGCATTAAAAGGTAAAAATGGCAAATGACAAAGTCGGGCATTAAAAAATAATCGTGTCATTACATTAAAAAATAGTACTTGAGTTCATTTCTATGTACATGGCATTTTTTTTTTTAAATGGCATACATTTTTTTGTCATTTCAATGCGTAGTGGAAATTCGACATTAGTCTGTAATAAATTATTGATTCATATAGCCCAATTCTGGATTGGTGACAAACATCTTTTTGCTGACAAATTTAAAATTTTTCATATATTTTTCGGTAATAAAGACTGTGACAAGAATTTGTCACTGATACAGAATAGAGCCGATACTCTAAATTACTAAATAATTAAGTAATGTTTTACTTACCAAATGCACAACACATAACCAATGAAGTTAGTGCGTAAACGCGTGTCTTCATATTATATGTCGCATAAATACGATAGGGTGCCCGCAGGAATATTTCTTCCGTGCGACGCCATGCACGCATTATGAATGGCCAATTTATGGCCAAACGCCAAAAGTAAATATGCTCCAGCATACAAATCACAAACAAGGATATTGTGCCTGCCATTTGAAAGGGATTATAGAAACATTATATACACTCTATATGTATTATTATACTCTATGTAATGCTGCCTGTATTCTATTATGCTACTGTGGTATTTTTTTTTCCTGGAAATTACCTGAGGAATGAAAATTTATTCCAGCTTTGAACACTAAATATCCAACCGTCATAAACTCTAAGCCATTTAGCAAAATTATCGACGCGGAATACAAAGTGTGTATGCTGCACCAGTTGTATTGTACGCGTTCCACATCATCAGCTAGTAGATTCTTAACCGGTAGTAAACCAAAAAATTGCGATATGAAGAGCACTATATAAAGTTAAGAAAAGGTAGGAGAATGAAATAGCTTGAAACAGATAACTTTTTTTAATTCAAAGGTTATCTATAACAAAAATAAAGTGAAAATAAATGAGTTCTACGTGCTGAGTATTTTTAAAGAAATACAGAATTTTGGGTTTATTTTTCTTTATAATTTTAAAGATCAAGCTAATTTTTTGTCCGACATGGCTGATTTTCCTGAATTATCTATCGCTCAAGCTTTAAAATATCTGGAGATACTCTTATTTGATTTTGTCACAAAGGAAAATTCATTTTCCACACCGTATGGTACTTGGAGCAATGGAGACTTATGGTGTTTAACCCTTTCAGTACCTACAAAAAAAAAAAAAATTAGTTTGTAGGAAATCCTTTACTTGTTCATCAGCAATGCAATTTTTTTGGCTTTTTGGGAACACAATTTTTTGAATCGTTGTATTCCAGAAATTGTGATTCTTAGGGACAAAAGTATCGGTACTATTATTACACATATGTACAGTGTTGCCGTTATGCGACAATTTGGCCCTTTTACCCTTTAACCTGACTTTTTAAAAATTTTGATTTTTTGAGACTTTTCTGAAAATATGCGCGACTTTTTGCCCCTTTTCAGAGATTTATTTATGAAATATTAACAGAACCGTGCTATTATAAAATATTTCCTCCTGGAATTACGAAAAAAAATGCATCACTTGAAACTTTTAAAGGAAATGCTACTCTTTTTCTTGCAGCAACTCGATGTATGTGCATGTTTGCAACCCTGTTTTGTGTAAAGTTTGACTTAATAATATTAACATGTAAATTTTATTTTGACTTTGGTTCTGAGAATTATGCTTTTACTAGTAAAGAAAGGCAAAAATTAATATGGTGACCCTTTTTTCTAAAAATTGTCAACGACAACACTGCACATGTGCTTATATATATTTATTAAAATTTTATTCGAAAAACTCTTCCTTGCACACAAGTTTATGTATCTACACGTGTTGATATTACTTTACCCAAAGCACTATTTGCTCTAATCCAAGCAAAAATGCAACTTATCCTTGACACTAATAATGCAATTTCACACACGTGCGTTAATGCAAAAAAAAAATACATACATATAAAATTTCGCACTAAAACACTTTGCACACAATTTTCGGTGGTCAATTAAAAATATTTACTGTGAAAACCAAAAATTATTTATGATAAAGAGAAGATATATTAATTAACAGCTTTGCAGCTGCACAAAATTTAACAAGCTAACCTCAAAACTTGTATTACAATACCAACATACATACATGTATGTACATATGTATATGGTTACCTGCATCAACATGCAACATGGATGTGATACACATACCTTTGGAGACACACTGGTGAAATGTTTGATCCTGTTGTTCTTGTTGCTTCGGCTGCGACATACCCGCTTCTACTGGCGCAAACTGGCGTTCACGCACGCACGCACGCACGGAGTAGACAAACACAAATGCCACAATTACGTGCAAAAGTTTAAGTTTTGATCGCAGGATAAAATGACAGAAATCCATGAACGTACGTATGTATGTATGCATGGATATGTATGTATGTATTTATGTATGTGGCAGCCAGCTACTTCGAAGGTAACTACAAATTTTCCAACTTGTTGGCAATGTTAATTGCAAGCAAAATTTAAAAAAAAAAATACCTCAGCACAGCTACTTATTTACCAAAAGGTGAGAGGGAATATTAGTATATGTGCATACCTACATACATACACCACTTAATTTACGGGTTTGTACATTTATTTTCACGTTTGTAGAAAATTGCACGTTTTTGCCAAAGTTGATGAAAACCGAAAACTATGGTAAACAGTTTAACGTGTCCCCGTTTTCTTTGCATTGCATGCAATCACCTACTTAGTTGCTTATTTGCTTGCACAAACGCATACACCTAGACAAATGTGGATAGTGCCGTTTGTGGGCGTGTAACCAGTTGAATGTACTTGCTGTTGCATATCACACACATGCACATCTGTATGTACATATGTATGTATATCCTTGCAAATGCGGTTGCAATTTGCTATAAGGCGTTGGTTGCTTGCCATGTTGCTAATTAAATCGTGTGACAATCGCAGATAAACATGACAACAAAACCAAGTACATATGTATGTACATACTGCACCAACAGCTACTGGAACAGCAACAGCAATAAGAGCAATAATCCTTGCAAGTCATCAACACATACATATGTATGTATGTGTGTACATTAGAGCGGAGCACCTTAAAAGCAAACAAAAAAAACGTTTGCCATGCACCCCTGAACCTTAAGTACTAATTTTGCAAGGCAATTTCGAACAAAAAAAATGTATCCGAACCTAGGGGTCGCCTTCTTAAATTTATCAGTGACTTCGACATTTGAGAGTATTTTTTTTTTCTACGGTAATAATCAAAATGCGAGTACACACTTCCTTACCAAAAGTGTACTGGTTTTTGGTGAGCTTTATGGGGCAATTCTCGCTAAGATAGTTTCAAGTCTTTTGTAAAATACCTGCAAGACAATAGGTAAGATATTTTGAAAACTTTTATTTATTCTGGCATGAAAGTCTTACCAAAACAAATCCCTTTCCAACTTTCATGGCGAAAATAGAGAGATATAATGCACATACTCTGTTGCTCGCGCTGCTGCAACAGTCGCAATGGGCGAGTCAGCAAAGAACTGGCGTGCCATGCAAGAGATCCGAGGCTCGAATCCGCGGGCAGTGGATTTTTTTTTTATTCAAATTTCCTGTATTTTTTTACATTTATCGATATAAAAAGATAAATATATATTTTTTTAATTTCGTTTAATTTTAAAAAAAAATTTTAAATAATTTTTTTTTATTTTACTTGTGTTTTTCTTTTTTTTAATTTCTTTTAACTTTTAAAATTTATGGTTTTAAAAAGAAAAATATTTTTTTATTTTATTTTATTTTTATAAATATTATATTTTTTAAATGTTTTCTTTATTCATTTAGTTTTCTTTTAGTTTTTAGGTTTTATTGGTTTGGAAAAATTTCCAATTTAATAAACTTTTTTTTATAAATTTTTTTTTTTANATTCAAATTTCCTGTATTTTTTTACATTTATCGATATAAAAAGATAAATATATATTTTTTTAATTTCGTTTAATTTAAAAAAAAAATTTTAAATAATTTTTTTTTATTTTACTTGTGTTTTTTTTTTTTTTTTTTTAATTTCTTTTAACTTTTAAAATTTATGGTTTTAAAAAGAAAAATATTTTTTTATTTTATTTTATTTTTATAAATATTATATTTTTTAAATGTTTTCTTTATTCATTTAGTTTTCTTTTAGTTTTTAGGTTTTATTGGTTTGGAAAAATTTCCAATTTAATAAACTTTTTTTTATAAATTTTTTTTTTTAGATACGTTTTTCTCAATTTAATTTTCTACTAATTTTTACGTTTTTTTTGTTTTAAAAGGAAAATTATTTTTTTAATTACATTTCAATTTAAGATTGTGTATTTATTTCTTTTTTGATAAAATTTTAGCTGTTCTGAGTTTAATTTTACTTTAATGTTTGGATTTTATGGTTTTAAAAAGATTTTTTTTTTAATTTCACTTGGTTTTTTTTTTGGAAACCTATTTTATTTATTTGCTCTTTTTTTAATTGAGTTTTTTTTTATTAAATTCTTTTTTGTTTTTATTGATTTTCTTTTCATTTTTTATTTTTTTCGTTTGAAAAAGAAGCACATGTATAACTACATACTTAATTTAATTTAATTTTTGAAAACTTACTTCTAAAAGAATAAAGCTTAAAGTTACGAAAAAGTTATGACCCATTCTTGGACTAAATTTATTTATTTATTTTGCAAATATATGCGCAAAATATTAGAGGCAGCGTTTGCTGTAACAAAAGTGTACGTTTTATTTTAAATGTTCATAAATATCTGTCTGTATTTTAAATTACCAGTTTTAAAATTACCAAAATTTGTTGTCCAGCGTATAAAAGACCAAAAATTAATATATGTATGTATAAGAATATACTTATGCCACGCTTTTAAATTACAAAAAAGGTATACCCAGTTTTTCAATTACCAGCTTAAAGTGTATTTGTAGTTATTACAACTGACGGTTAACCGACGACCGCAACGTGTGGTACGGCGCTTGCACTCTCTGTGGAAATTTCTCGAAATCAACTGTTTAATACATAAATGCCATAGACTAAAAAACATGGTGGTGAAACAAAAAAGATCGTTTCAATGCTAAATTTAAACTTTTGCTTTTTAGAACTATTTTTCAACGTTCTATAAGGTATACATATATCACTTCGTTCTGTTATATTGATAGTAAAGTAGTTTGTTACATTATTTTCATTTAAGGATATTCTTTAATTTGTTTGTCACGTGTGTCACAAAATATTCCACAAATGTGGAAAGTTGCATCTTGTTGCTAGTAGTATCCTCCAGTGGTTTCATGTACACATATACATATCTAATCAAATTTTCATAATTAATGAGAATCAGTCAGTATGTAATTACCAGACGCATTTATATGTACTTAGTATGTATGAATGTACTTACATATGCATTAGCGCACACAGGGGGTGGATTTTGGGGTTCAAATCGCCCCACCCACCCCCCCCCNACCTTAAAGCTTAGGATCCAGCCAAGGCGAATTTATATAAGGTGGTGTTATTTCATCAGCTGTGAGTAGCGTTTGATTGTCAAAATTTTGTATTTCGTTAGCGAGTAAGTGAAAACGTGAGAGTGTTTGTATTTTCTGTCCCCCTTTTTCATTCGGGGAAGAATAGTTGAAATTTGACAATGGCCCGCTAAAAGCAAAAACAAAATACAAGTAATTGTTGTATTTGTTGAATCGATACCACCTTATATCTGTGTTCGTATGGAAAAGTAGCTTATGTCGAAAGGCTGGCTTTAGTATAATGCGGCAATCCCTTTATTTTTTAAACGGCAAGGAATTTGTTGATGAGAGTTAATAAGAATATTGACTTGCTAGTATCGGAACTGTTTATTCTACGTTTATTTGACAAAAGTTGTTCAACGGCTTAGCGCCAGTGAGTCATTCGCAATCGTATGCTGCGAATGCCGATTTATACTAAAGCCAGCCTTTTGACATAAGCTACTTTTCCATATGAACACAGATATGTATTCGCCTTGAATCCAGCTCTCAAAAAAATATTTTTTATTATTTATGTTGCTTGAAAAAGCACACTTTGGTTTTGCTGTATATTTTCTTGAAGAATTAAATATACGAGCACTTTTCTTTAGAGCTGCAAACTGATATAAGAAATTTTGATAGAAGAAAATTTCTTTTCGATTTCTTGTGCGTAATTTTATATGAATTTTTCTCTTTTCTTTAGAGTTCTTAAAAGTTTTACTGCGAATGAAAACATTGTCCTATGCAATGCACACTCACTTACTATTGTTTTTGACACTTTACAGCCCAAAAGAGTTTACCACTGATACATACTTAACAAGGATTCGAAGATTTAATTTGCCAACTTCGAATTGGTTCCACCAAAATGAGCTACATATTAAAAATACAAGTTCAGTTAATTTTTTCGGTATTCGAAATATTAAACAAATATAAAAAATTGAGGAAAATGAACGTTGAAACTCTTTTTTACATTTTTTATTACTTTTGAAAGTTGACCGCATCTTGTGTTTATAGAATTTTTTATTAAACAAGTATTTTTTAAGAAAAAACACACAACCGGCTTCAGTTCTCATATACAAATTTAGGAGTACCGTTAATTTTTTCATGATCCAATGATCGGGCCTAAACCAAATTACAGGACGACCCTTGAGGTACCCTCATTCCGATAAAAAAAAGAATTACTAAAATCGGTTCACGTGGTCCAAAGTTATGCGGNCCTAAACCAAATTACAGGACGACGCTTGAGGTACCATCATTCCAATAAAAAAAAGAATTACTAAAATCGGTTCACGTGGTCCAAAGTTATGCGGTAGCTACGCAAAAAAAAAGAGAAAGTATTCCGACGAATTGATAACCTCACCCTTTTTTGAAGTCGGTTAAAAAAGTTTGAGTTCTTTGTTAATTTTGTGTTAATGAAGTGGAATTTATGAAATTTTTGAAAAAGTGTATTTTTTTTGGAGAGCATTTTATCTGAAGCGAATTTTCAGTTTTTTTCTGGTGATATATCTTTAGTAGTATAAACCCCTCCCAAAATATATTCCTGGGTGCGCCCCTGTACATATGTATGTATATTTGANAGAAAAAATATTCCGGCGAATTGATAACCTCACCCTTTTTTGAAGTCGGTTAAAAAAGTTTGAATTCTTTGTTAATTTTGTGTAGATGAAGTGGAATTTATGAAATATTTGAAAAAGTTTATTTTTTTTGGAGAGCATTTTATCTGAAGCGAATTTTCAGTTTTTTCTGGTGATATATCTTTAGTAGTATAAACCCCCCCCCCCAAAATATATTCCTGGGTGCGCCCCTGTACATATGTATGTATATTTGAAAGCACATAACCAAGTGTTGTAAGTTATGTAGTATGTATGTTTATTTAGCTCATAATAGCCATGTCTTGTTGTCATATCACTCTTCACTCTAATCTACTCTAATCTCTAAGAGCACAGATCGGGTAGTCCTTTCGTCCGGTTGGGTTCATCGAATTGCAGCAAAACCAACTCGTAGGTGACAATAGTGCCTGCCATCTGCATATAAAATAATAAGAAGAGCAAAAAGTGGGTAAGTCAGTATGTATATACATATTAAAGAACTGCAAAATTCAACATTTTCTGTAAAAATGTCTTTTTCAAAAATTTCATGCATTGCTATGTCATGTCAACTCAAACAAGGTGTTATGCCATGTCATTCCATCTCAAACATACTGTTTTAGAATGTCGTTGCTACTTAGCTAAGCTGTTGTTCGCTGTTGTGCTTCTGCAGCATATTTTTAATACTGTTTGATCCTGCCTTGGATGAAAATATATACAGGTTTTTAATTAGACAATTCTTTAATGCATTTTACTTTAATAGGTGCTTAAAAAATTTACAAAATCTCTTCCCGTATGTAAAATGTAATTAATAATGCTGACTATGTCGCATGTGTCGCATATGTTGCTTGTGTTGACATGCATAGATTTGATGAATGATTTGATTTTAATTATTCGACAGTGTCTTCATATGTTATTGTGAAACATGTATGAGCGACATAATATGAACTGGCACTTGCATGATGTGACACGTATTGCTATGTTTTATAGTTCAACATTTGCAGGCTTTTAATACATATAAATATATCTATAGACGCTTCACTGTGTTATGTTACATTCATAGATATCTATGTACATTAGGGTGGTCTTTAAATGTTAGGAAGCAAATTTGTACATCAGATTTCCTAAGCCTCAACCTCTGCATCGATGCTACTATAGTCGAAGATATCACATATAAATTTTGGTCCCGATTGGAGACGGTTAAGGCGTGTCGCACAGGGGTCAAAGTGCAGATTACCCTATGAATACGCCTTAACCGACTACAGTCGGGACCAAAATTTATATGTGATATCTTCGACTATGGTAGTTTCGATTTTGGGTATTTATTAGATTAAAAAAATAATAATTTTAATTTTTGAGTCTCTGTAGAGGAATCAGTACTTTGCCCACCCCCTGTGCGACACGCCTTAACCATCTCTACACTGGTGGCCCAAAGAGATAACCTCTGTCAAAGAGTAATGGTTTGCGGACTACATACAAGGCCTTCCTGCAGAGATGTAAAGAAGCCACCAAAAAAGGCCAAAAGGAAGGATTACTGCGATTGCATAGAGGAACAGTCGAAGGGTAATCGCTTAAAAACAAATGGCGGCTGGACGTCATCTCGTGAGTACATGCCAAAAGTCTTAACAAGCGCGCACTTTGCAGGGTGTACTTCGGAACTTAGCAGCGCTGTTGTTAGCTCTGGTCGCCAGTTGGTATTAGTGGGCTTCATTGCCTTACAAAAAATACTTTAGAATCAGGGATGTGCGTCGATATTTTTTTCAGGTACGACCCAGTGCACATACGTACATACCTATTTGTGGACATTTGACAAAACAATTTCTCTTTAGTGAGGACATTTTCCTTTCAAATATTTTTATTTTTAATCTTAATGAATGTTTAATAAATTTTTTTTCTTTTTAATTCGAACTTCTTTAAGTCAGTTTTACTCTAAACTCCAACCTACAGAAAGCACAGAAGTTGTACTGTCAAAAGTCCACAGATATCAACATTTGTTTGAATGCCACTGCCAAGCGGCTTCATGCAATTTTTTGATAAAAGAAAACATATATACGTCCAACAATTAGGGTCAAATTCACGGTGTACTGAAAATCTGTAGTTATTTACCGACAGTGAATTTGGCCCTTGAAACTCACCCCGAACAGCAACCTCCTTGTGAGAAAGTAGAATTTCTTGCCTGATAATGCCACCGTTGTAGTTGACATTTGAAATATTAGACGTTCCACCTGTTGTACATGGAAGAAATTTCAAAAAATTACTATCTAACTGTCAGGACGTAAACTAATACTAGTACTTGAATTATTTATTGAACTAATTAGTCTTCGCTTTAATTATGCAAGAAGGACGTATGGCTATTCACTTAGTTACCTACTTGCTTACTTGTAAGCATACATACATATGTATCTATATTTTCTCACCTTTAACCCAGCGCATATTCATACACTACCCTTGTCACTCACCTCGACACACCAAGTATTCGCTGGTATACGCCTCAGCACACTTAAAGCGTCTTTTGCTTCGTCATTGATGGATGCTGCTGTGAGAAAAACAAAAGTCGTACGTCCGATTAGGAAAAGTAGCGAAAACCAAAAGTAAACGTAATTAATTGGCCAACGTAATTTACTGTTGATGGCGTGCGCATGCACATAGACGCAGACATATACAAATTTACCAAAGTATGTATGTACATTGGATGTAGCAAGCGTTGAAGAAAGTGAAAGAAAAAAGAAATGGTTGCGTGAAAAAGTAATTAATGCAAATCCTGCAACCAGCTTTTGGCTGTAACGGCTATACCCAAGTCCATCGTCATGTGTGTGTGTGTGTCTGAGCGTTTGTATGTAGATATGTACAATAGGACGTACCACTGTACAAGCAAACAAAGAAAGAATTCGCCATACACTGCTGAGTCTAAGGTATTTTTGCAATTTCCTAAAATAAAAACATTTTTTTGGTCGAACCTAGAGGTCGCCCTTTTTACATTTTTCAATGAAACCTACATTCGGCAATAGGTTTTTTTTTAAATAGTTCTACTGAAATAAATAATTTAAAGATTTTTGGTGGGCTCTAATGTACTAACATTAAGGTGGTACGTTGGGTGACAGGTAACAAGTTCAACGGAAATAAGGTCAATTGACTTTATTTCGCACCAGGGTGGTCTTATTACCTGTTACCGGTACGTTGGCGTGTTAAAAACTGTAATCTGGTGGATAAGTACTAGAACGGGCTACTCAATAACTCTATCAATGAACTCTAGAACAGCGATATGTCATACTTTAAGCTTCGCCTGTTAATCCCGATGATATGACGAAAATGTAAAAATGCGACCCTACATTCGGCCAAAAAAAAATATGTTTCTTTCGAAATTGCTTAGCAAAAATATTAAGAGTCAAGGGCGTACGGTGAACTTTTTTTTCTGGTACAGTCTAATGTAAAATTATGTGCATAAGTGAGTGTATATGCGTTTGTTACAAGCATTGCAGTGGAGACTCGCAGGCATGGCTACGGGGTTAGCCGAATATGTATTTTAAATCTCTTTTTTTACGAGTATATTTCGGCACTTTAAAAGCAATAAAATAATTTTATTGTCAACATTTGACAAGAAGCTACAGCCGCTTAACTGTTGCTGTTGGCAAATAATTAGTGTGTGAAAGTGTAACATGGGTACAGTCGTCAGCCTTAAGCTTCTTTGTATAAATACAGCATTTATCTTAATCCTCTTTTACATAATTGTCATTAAATATTTTAATTGCAATTACATAAATATACATACATGAATACCTATTCAAGTATTAAGGTAAGTAGTTCACTTACTTGAAGATATTCAGTAGCTGGTAGCAAACGAAATATAAATTATTTGCACTGGATAGCAAAATTATGCCAGACAAATCCTCATCCACATACTCGAGTAATTCAATTAATTTCACATAGTGGTCTCGTATTTCCATAAAAATCGATTCAGACACTTCCTAGAATAGGTGACAGGATTGTGAAAATTTAACAAAACTAATTAAGATAATGGAAGTACAGAAAGATGTTGTCGTACACCTATAATTATTACCTTATCGAGCAGCGTGTGTATGCGCATCTTCATTTGCTCAAATCGATATGCGATGCCTTTGCCTATCATCATTATGAAAAGATCCATGTAATTCCACACAAATGTGCAGAAAAAATTCACTATCTACATATTTACGAGTACATAAAAGCAGATATACAAATATTAGTTGAGTATTAGTAGTTCTAGTTGGAGTTTAATTTGACAAATCAAATTTCGGATGAAACCAAACGTCAGGTATGGACATATCTATTAAAAAAATGTTGATTTTTGACATATTTCAGAGAATTGTGAACAAGATTTCTAGCATCCTACTTATATCTGTGGTCATTAGCAATAACCGCCTAAGTCAACTTAAGAAAGAATTTAGCTTTATATGTATAATAAAAATACGTAACTTTTGTTGGGATTTTTTTTTCTCGGAAGTGCCTTTTTCAACATCTAAAGGACGTTCGAACTTCAAATATTCCTGGGCTTCTAAAATGGACGGAAATGTTTTTATTAAAAACAAAAAAATACGAGTCTTCAAGTAGGAGAAGCTCTATCGTTTTTGTTCGTATTATCGACGTCCTGTTTCGACCGAAAGTGGGTTAAACTAACTGTAAGCATATTTTATTATAAAATCATTTAATTTTTTCCATAACCAATCTCCGGAATAGGGGTCCAATAAACATATTCACGGACGCATTGAAGCTGGACAGGAGAGTCGGAGGAGAGGTCTATTGTCGGAAACTCTGCAGCGTCTTTCAAGCAGAGGTGACCGCTATAAACGAGGCAGCCGATTGGCTATGCAGCAACCTCTTGCCAACTAGGAGGGTAAATATCTACTCTTATAGCCAAGCGGCTTTCAAAGAGCTGGGATCGCTTATAATACGCTCGAAATTGGTCGGGAAATGCCTGACCTCTCTCCCAAGTGCCTTGGAATACTTCCAAATCAAGCTGATTTGGGTACCGGGACACAGTGACAGAAATGGAAATTGCCGGGCTGATGAATTGGCTGGGCTGGGAACCTTCGAGGCCTTAACCTCGGATAGGGAGGGCGTAGGAGTTCCGTTGGCAACCTGTGGCTTACTTCTGGACAGATGGGCTCACAGTCGGCTCAACGAGCGCTGGGCGACAACACCGACATGCAAAGTTGCAAGGTCCTTCTGGCCGGTTGTCGACCGCGGGCGATCAAGGGAGCTTCTGCAGCTGGCTAAGCGCCACCTTTCGATTCTCACAAGTGTACTGACCAGACATTGTCATTTAGGAACTCACGCGGTGCGACTTAACATCGTCACAGATCTCTACTGCCAGGGCTGTTTGGAAGATGAGGTGTATTCATCTCAGCACTTCCTTCTCAGTTGCCCGGCATTCGCAAGACTAAGATTTAAGCACCTCGGTGCTCATTTCTTCAACACTCCTGAAAAGATCTCCGGAGTGGACATCAGCTGCCTGCGGAATTTGGTTCTGAGCACCCAGCGCTTCTCTTTTAACACAGAATATCTTACTTGCCGTTCAAAGAACTTGTGTAAGGTCTAATACAATGGACAATCTAATTAATGTCTCAGGAAGTCCCCCTGGTGCGGGGTCTGCCACAACAACCTAACCCTAACCTAGGTGTATTTTGGTGACCGCTTTATGGATTTCTACCAAGCTAGGTTCAATTATTTTATTAAGTCTAACTGAGCATGTTATCGAAAATGTTAGAAATCGGTGAAAAGCACCTGCTTATCACGTAAAGGCGGTTTGCCGAAAAATGAAAAGGCTATGTATATGTAGGTCAAGTTAGGTTGAAGCGGCTGCCTTCATCTAATGTACGTACATAGGTGAGAGGCACACTTAGACCCTGTGGGTCCATTGTGATACCAATTTAGAGCCCGTATTCGAACTCGTCCATTCACCTAGAAGTAGAACCAGTTGGTTAGGTTCAGAAAGCGCGAGAATTCGTGAATTGCTGCTTTGCTTAGGTCGGCCAGAAAGACAAAAAAGTGGTGGTAAAATGAGCGTCTTCGCGCCCACTAAGGGCAGGGCAGTGACATTGGTAGTGTTCCACACTCTCTATTTCGCCCATGTCGCGGCAACTATGGTAGAAATCATTGGCCGGCAAACCCATTCTGCTAGCATGCCTTCCCATTGAGCAGTGTGGTTCGTAATAATAGCGGTCACCAGCCTTAGTAAAGAGCGTTCTAACCGAATGAGTGTGTCAGATCTTTTCTTTTCGTGGCTAGGCCAGATTTGTCGAGTCGTCCCACACGTGGGTTCTTCTGGTCATCTTTTGTTTGCCTTCGAGACGAAGTATGTCCTGAACCATATCTTGGAGGTAGGTAAATCGTTAAGGACTTTCCTAAATTCTATCACAGTTATTGAGGAGATCATACAGCAATGTAGAGACTTGATAGCTGCTTGTCTATCGGAGTATATAGTTGCTGAAGGCCGGTTAAGAGAACGTGCGATAAGCCAGAATGCAGCCTCTTTTAAAGCCGCGTATTCTGCTTGAAAGACACCTCAGTGGTCTGGTAGCCTAAAGCAGAGTTCTAATGAGTAACCTGACAGAGTATACAGAGATAACTGCATTGAGGGTTTTTGTGTATCTACCCCGTAAACACTCAGGGCCGGTTGTTCAATGTCTGGTTATCAGTACTTGCCGGTTAAACATCATTATCGACGTTTTCGGCATCATGCACATAACATGTGATCGATAAAGCAGTCTTTGTATTTAAGCGGAGCTTCTACCTCCGATTTGTGCTAATCAGACATTGAACAACCGGCCCCTATTTAAACAGTTAAGGCGGATTCATCGTTTTAGTTCAGAACTTTTCTTCCATGTGGTTGTTGTTGCGTTTCTCTCTTTGAGAAGAAAAGTTCAGAAGTAGAACGATGAATCCGCCTTTATACCGGTATCAGAAATTTGTTCATCTACCCAGCCAAATACATATGTATTCCCAATGCAATGGCTTAAATTTTATCAAATCCACTTACCAAAATAAGGCAACCAATAAGCGTTGACTTCGGCAACAATTCAAATACGTAGTCATAGTTTCTGTAAGCGAATTCTTCGAAAGTGAAAGGAATAGTGATATTCTGGGCTGCACCACACAGTAGTGCTCTACGATATTCAGAGTATATAGCTGAGATAAGATAAAATATATGCTCCACTACATTATGAAAAATAAAAAAAATATATAATAATAATGAAATTTTTAATTGCAATAGGCAAACCTGCTGAGAATGCAATTACTGCGTATGCAGCACGTCGCACCCGAGTTGACAGATTTGGTTTGGGCATTTTGTAAGGTTTTCGTACGAATATCATTTCAGTGCGAGTCCAAAAGCGAATAAGGCGTGGCCAACGGGGCGCCAGCGTGAAGAAGAGCACCGTTGATGATTGAGCACATGCAAAGAAGACGAAGCCGACTGAATGAAAGAAAGTAATCGAAGAGTTGTTTTTTTTTTATGGAACAAAAATGAAAAATAATTTTGTAAATTGTGGTAGAACGAAAATAAATAAACATTAACAATCTTACCTAAATTTTTCGCGTCTACACCAATTTTTGCCAAATGTTTTATCATTGCAAAATTAAACGTAGAACTGGCGAATAAAAATATCAATGTAATCATCACTTGTATGGATCGGAATGTAAAGCGTACTTGACGCGGATTTGAATGGCCAACACCACGAACAGGCATCAGCGAAAAACATTGACCTATAATGAGTACTAAAGAAATCATATTATTTTAAAAGAGGTGTTTAACAGCTGATTTTCGTTTTATAATTTATTACATATTTAGTGTTTATAAAGATCTTTATATGGTTTATTGGAAAACCAAAAAGATTAAGTTATATGAAAAGCCGTTTTGATAGTTAAACATTTTTGTTTTTTTTTTTTGAATAAAAGTTAAAAATTAAAAACATATCTATCCAGAACTGGGGGATATACATAAATCTTATACGCCTAACGAGTTTCGTCAAGGATTCAAAATTGTTTAGCAAGGGGGAGTAACACAGCTCCAAGTCGTGGTATCACAAAGGACATTCAACTCGTGACCTAAGTGTGCCCCTGCTTAGCAGTGGCAACCATACCTACCTAATACCTTTCGACATTTTCTCTGACATCCAGGCAGTAAAATGGCGCTGTATTCAAAAGTAATACCTGAACATTTACAGGAATTGCAAATAAATGATGCCGAATGGAACTCTTCTGTCACACTTTGTGCTTTATTGAATTCTCTACGCACAAGTCTCTATTTAATCCAAAGAGGTAAGACATCCCAATAACTACAGTGATGTTTACCGGATATTGTGTGATAGGATCACATGCGTCTAGACTTTTTGCATAGTTTTTAATGCATACATTCATATTCATATTCATTTGGCATGTTTAGTGAAACGACATATATTTGAGATGTCAAAATAAAAAGTTCGTTCGACATAAAATGCATGTTTTCTTCCCGTTGAAAATCCTTTCAAGAACAATATTAACAAAACTTTTTCCTTGGAAATTTTTCTAACGTAACGCCAAGTAACGTTACGTCAGATAATTCAGCTGATTAAACATAAATCAGAAAAGATTCTACATTTAAAAACTTGGAGAATTAACCTTAGACATTTCCAATATTACTACAAAAACGTCACGCCAGCGTGTGTGTTTACTAATGTCGCTACTACCAACAGTTGTATCTTTTTACTGAATAAGGGGCCATTTAATTGCTATGCAAATCTAGAAAACCCTTTCTCAAATTTTGACTTTCTCGATATATTTTTTTTTTTTTAGATTTAGTCGTACGAGTGTCACGTAACGTCAGAATTGAAATACCCATATAGCAAGGTTCTATCAAAGCAAACAAATATTTTTTTTTCGANGTTACAAAAATGCCTGTGTTCATGTTCTAAAATAAAAATATTTGGGGCTATGCAAAAAGTATATATTTAAACAAAAAATTCTATACAAAAAAATAGTTACAGAATTTAGAAATTTTAAAAATCGTGAAAGTAAATTTTTGGCTCAATTTATGTATGCACTACAGCCGCTGTGGCTGGGTGGTTAGAAGTGCGTACTCCCACTCCGTAGGACCTGGGTTCGGTCCACAGTCTGGATAACTTCTGGATTAAGTAGAAACGTTTTTCCCAACAATGAGCGCCAAAATAGTATACTTTATATCTATCTTATGAGATCCTGAAAATTTTTTTAAGATAAGAATTTTTTTATGAAATTAATTTAAATTAAATAAAAGTGGTTTAGCATAAGAGCTCTTGTTAGTCGACGAATCGATTAGTAGAATAGCAAAAGTTGTTTCAAGAAATAATCGACTTCACTAAATCGTCTAACCGTTTCCTTGCGACTGTACATTTTAGTCAATTTTTGTTTATGTAATTTCTTCTTAATATCCCTTAAAACGAGCCCAGAACCATATTTTTAGTTATTCAAAAAGTAGTCTTGCAAACTCGCGGAAATTGTGAAATTTAGAATTCTGCATAAATAACTTTAGAAAAAAAAAATTTTTGTTTTGCTTTGGCAGAGCTTGATTGACACGGATTCACTCATATGTAAATATATTTGCAGTAGTTTTTCCACATATACATACATAAAATATACTTACTTGGACTAATAGCACGATGAAATATATCCAATTTGCTATAGTCTGTGTGTATGCTTGGCTTAATGTAATGGAAATCTTTCTCCAGAAGAGTGAAATATTCAATTGGTGTACGTCGTCCCATCAATTTGATGGCATTAATGTCGACATCCTCTAAATTTTCTACCACCAATTTGTCATTAGGAATTTTCAAGGTGGCACTTTTATCTATTTCACTTGACTTTTTCGCTGGCTTCACATGATTTTTTTGAAAAACTTTCAGATGCTTCATTATTATTTCACGCAATTTACTGCGGCTAAGCATTTTCAATTTGGTATAAAATTATTCACTAACCAACTTAAATAAATTATTTTAACTAGTTTTGATAACGAAATCTGCATATAAATAATATCTACATCCATATATAACACCTGTTTTCGTTGTGAATGTGGAACTACGAGTGCATATTAGCCGAATGAGAAACTTATAATAAATGTTATTCACGGGAATCTGTAGCAACAGCAAAATATGGGCGGACCCGTACACATACCTATACAACTAAATATGTATGCACATTGTGCTTATTAGAAGTGTTTACATTTTGCACATATTTATGGCTGTGAAAATATGAATGAAAAGGCGGATATTTTAGTGTCAGTAGTATTTAAAGGACTCCCATGCATTGAAAAAAAACCCTCACTTAAGGTAGCCAGATTAAATAAACCAACAACTAGTGTTCGCCCAGCGGTTGAAATTCAAACACTGCAATTAAGGTGATGTGGGTTGAGATGAGTTGAAGTGAGGTGAGTAGAGTTGAATTGAAGTGATTTGGTTCGAGTTAAGGTGAGTTGAGGTGAGATGAGGCAAGTAGAGGTAAGGTAAGTTGAGATGAGATGAGTTATGGTGAATTTAGATGAGGTGAGGTGGACTGAGATGAGCAACAGAATGTGATATAACAAATCTAATTTACTGTTTTAGTCTCTATCTTTATCTTTATACTGATCTATACCCTTATCTTTATCTTTACCTTTTTTCTGTTCTTCATCTACATACACATTCACCTACACATGAGGACAAATTAAGAATTTTTAATTCAATTTCATCTTTATCTTTATCTTCTACGTTGAGATGAGTTTGAGTGAATTGAGGTGAGGTGAAATGAAGTAAGTCGGAATCTTTGTAAATTTATCTTTATCTGTGTGTACCACGATGTAGAGAAAAGGGTGACGCCCATCTCGGTACCGCTATGACGTCACACTTGTGCAAGTTGTTTACGTTTTTCTTGCAAAATCGCCTCTTCTTCTTCCATTCTTGCTCGCGTTTTTGGCATTTCTCTCTCGCAAAATGCACCAGTGTGACGTCACACAAAAATTATATTCAAAATTCCTCTCTGTTGAGCGCAATCTTGTATTCTATCATTCTTGCCTATGTTCATATGAACACAATATTAGAATCCATTATCGGCGGGAAATTAATCTAATGCCTTCGGTCAGCGTTGCGGGATTTAGAATCCTTTTGGCTTTTAAATCCGCTTTTAATTCAAAACATTTATTTAATTTGTAATTTGATTCATGGAACAAATTTAAAAACAAAAAATAATTTATGATCTGATTCCTCTACCAAATAGAAAAATTATTTATTTGTGACTTGATTCGGCTGACAAATAAGAAGTAGAAATTATTTATTAATTTATTAACCAAATACATTTTTGTTTTTTGTTATTTTTTGGCCTTTTTAACAATTATATTCAACAATTTTATAATGAGCTCGAGGCCATTTTTGTTATGCCATTGTGTTGGCATAACAAAAATGGAAATAGTGGAAATAAGCAAACGATAATTTACAAGGCGTCTTAGCACGGTGCATAGGCAACTGGCTGAGTCAGTGGGATCGTCGGTTCGAATCCTACTGAGAGAAGTCTGATGAGGAAATGTGGTGATTTCCGAAATAGCTATCACTTCTACCATTTTTTCAAATTATTGTTGCTTTTCCACAATAAATTTTCATTTAAAAAAATGGCCTCGAGCTCATTATAAAATTGTTGAATACAAATACATTTTTATTTGCGATTCCATTTGTCGAGCAATTCAATTGAATACGATATTTTCCTACTAAAAAATACTTTTTTTATGCAGCGCAGGCATGATTTTCAAGTTTTTCTCATCTGTATACACAGACAGTTGTTATAGTGTATCTAATTTCTGATTCGAAATCAGCATCAGAAACAAAATTCATTTGGTCGTCAACTCGAATTAAAAATAAAATTATTTTTTTATTTGGTCGCGGAATCAAATCCCAAGTAAATTTAATGGTATATTTGTCTGGCGAATCAAATCACAAATAAATTTTATTTTTAATTAATAAATTCATATTACTAAGAATTTCATGCAACTTTCAGTTCAGAAATTAATTTGATTTTTGGATTTATGTTTTGGCTAATTCAAAATCATTCAACCTTGCTTTCGACAAAATCATATCCAGCATCTGAAAAAAAACCATCATTTAAATTTTGCTGCTTTACAGCAAATTCAAAAACACAATAAAAAAAATTTATGAATTTATCTTTGTTTTTTTTTTTTTTTCTTTGACAAGCATTCATAGACGATTTTTTAAACTTTAGTAGAGATATTTTTTCTCTGTAACAGCGATCTGAATGTATGTGACACGACAAAAAACAAAGCATTTAGTGCATTTATAAATTCTTTGCTTCTGGTCACCTTCATTAAAATATATATGTACGTACATACGCTTGTCTAAAGCATAGCTAAGCAAATTTGCAAAGCACTTAAGTGCATATTAAAGGCAATAATACGCTGCCTACACTTGCGTGAGACCTCCTACCTGTGCGCCTTATCGAATTTTTTTCAGCTAAGATCAATAATCCAACCAAAACGATTCGAAAACATATAATTTTTAAATATTGTTCACTTCATACATAAATCATTTACAATTTCGCCTATTTTTACACGTGAAATTAATATGTACATAGTTCGTAGGGAGAATTCGATATTAAACATTTGAACAAGTAATTAAGTATGTATAGTATATAAATTAGAGTGGTCCAAAAAAAGTAAAGTTGGAATTTTAATTCTTATCCATTCTTAAGAAGTCCATTATATAACAATTTTAGGTGGAAAAAGAAAACAATTTAAACCCACTATTTTTTAAAGGCATTTGAAAGGTTAAAGTAATTATTTTTCCAACGAAACTGTTTTTTTTTTTTAA